AACTTATCACAAGAAAGGGTTGGTTTCAACTAAACTTTCCTTGGGAAGGTTTCTCAGGTCCAGGATAGAATTTCTGGTCAAAACCAGAGAGAGAGACAGAGAGAGAGGGAGAGGGAGAGGGAGGGGCAGTTACACTCTAATGCACTCCAGAACAGCAATCTCAACACACAAACCCCAGTCATCACAGAGGCCCACCTCAAAACAGCCAAAAGCCCAGGTGAGTACCTCATCACTGGAATGTGAGAGACCCAGGTCTCTGCTCTGCCAGCATCTCTCTCCGCTTTTTTGCAAAAAAGTTCAGAAAAAGATTTCTGTTTCATCCTGATGCAGAATGGAAACATTGTTGAAATCCTGAAAATTTTAGAGGGACAGGGAAACAGTTTCCCATTCAGCTCTAAGGAAAGCACATGTTGTGCCCAGATCTAATATAAACACATGTAAAGACAAAAGAACCCGAGAACTTGTAATCTAAGATGCCAACCAGCCTCCAAGAAAAAAACCTGATATTTTTATTCAACATGGATGATCCAGTTCAGATAAGATAAAACCCAACAAGATTCCTCATCCACAACTACAGGTATCTCTACCATTGGGTCTCCACGGACCACAGTCAGATGATCTTTTTGGTTCCATTGCTGATGTTAGCATCACAGATGTTAGCTGAGACACAAAATGCCTCTGTCTGTTTTCTTCTGGCTAGTAAGCTGCAGCTGTTTATCTTTCACTTGTCACCGTTATCTATGCCTTGATCATTTCCAGGATGTATTCTCAAAATACCCTCTACTGGGAGCTGTTCCTGAAGATTATTTGGACATCTCAGCTAACACAGACTGTAGCCATGTGCTTGTTAAGTGTAGCAACCTGGGAATGAAATAGTGCAATATTCTTTTGCTATTCCCGAGCAGAGCAAGACAAGGGAAGATCAGAAATCTCAGCAATATCTGTTCTCAGAAGATTACAAGAGCAATTTTTGGAATAAAGAGGTTTGAATGAATTTTCATAAAGCAAACCTCTTTGAATTTCTGGATGCCTCTAAATTTTTAGGCACATAGCTCTTAACCTATACACAGTAAGGGCTACCTGTTTTTTGTTCTCATTCTCAGTACTGACTCTGAATAACCAGAGTAAGGTGGGCATCACTGCATCAAATATGGCCTCCAGGGCAGACTGCCTTCTGGGGTTGCCACACCCACCACTAATTCACCACCAAGGTCGGTCTGTGCTCTGCATACTGCCTGCCTGTCATAGAAATGTCCGTGGCTATAAACAGGGAAGATATACATTAAAGTAACTACAACATTCACTAAAGTAGACAACACTTTAAATTGCAGAGGAGCAGATGTAAAGGATAACAAGCTAAGTTAAATCTCTTCTCTCTGCCCAGCACTACAGAGCTCCTAGGTGCATAAGGGATCCCAGGTGTTGCCTATTTTAATGTCAGGCTAACCCTTTACTCTAATAAAGAATTCCAGATCACCATGTCCTCCAGATAAGGCCACCAGAGTCTTACAGTTCGGAATCTGTATTGTCAAAAAAGCCCGTGTGCTTGTGATTTCAAAATGCCAGTTTAGGCATGTGGAGAAGCATCAGCATTAGAAATACCCTGCAGAGGAAAAAGCATTTGAAAGCAGTAGGTAAGATTTCTTTCTCCACATCTGCAGTACACACCAACAGTGAAAATTCTATGATGGCTTTGCTTCTACCAGCTATTGCTTTTCTAGTTAGCCTTCAGCCGTATTTACTAACTGTAATTTACATGCAGCAGCAGGTCTGTCAGTCTGAGCTCAAGTTCTGCCCTCGCCCCTCATAGCATAGTAAATCTATTTTGATGGAAACTCAACTGGATTCCAGAATTCACTTCCAGGAAGTGAGAGAATGCTGCCCACTGCATCAACCAGTGGGTGGACTACTACAGCCAGCAGCAACCTGTTTCCTAAATGCCTGTCTCTTACAAGTTGATTGATTACAGATGGCCTTCAGAACAGGTGAAGTGGTAGGAAAGCAGGCTAGAGAACTGGTGGCAAAAGACATGTTCTTGGTCTGACTGAGGCAAATTTCTTACATTTGTATACCAAGGATAACTGGAGGTTATTCTTGTCCTTCACTACAAAATCTATGAAATCAGGATCAGAAAACCTGCCCAATCGTCAGCCTGACTGAGCCAAATGGCCTTTCAAGGGAGAGTTGACTATTTGCTGCTGTGAAGAGGTTTCCGTTAACTTGGCAGATAAGATTGCCCAGATCCGTGACAGACTGTCCTGTTCCACTAATACGTCAGTCCAGCAGGCAGCAAATGCACTGTCCTTTCTAGATGAATTGTACCTGGTTTTGCTGAAGAAAGTTTTAGATTTACTTCATGGCCTTCACAGAATTACCTGCAAAATGGACTCTTGTCCTTTATGGTCAGTGAAAAACAGTAGGGAAATCTGAACTCCGTTATCAATTTTAGTGGCCACATCACTTAATCATTAGTCAGGTTTCTATTTTATCTTTGTATTCACTCCAAAATATATTTCATGGGAGGCGCAAGACAAATTAACCAATGCCCAAATTAGTCACAGAGGAAGAAGCATGTTTGCCGGTCACTATACTAATACGCATATTTTTCTTCAATCTCCTGGGACAACACTTATAGCCACACTTCAGCATCTTCCAATTATTGCCTACCATGCACCTACTCTCAAGTTTTGGTTTGCTCTGCCTGTAGAATCGGCACTTTGCAGAGCAGTCATGGGCACACACAAATAAACCACTGTCATATTGTTGAAAGATTTTTCCTATGAACGGATACATAAAATCAGTGCGTATCTCGATACCTCAAAGCTATTTGCATATCAAATCATGAACGGAAAACAGAAAAAATGAGTTTTTCTGCAGCATGAAACCATTACATATCCAGCATCACTGATTTTGCATGTACTCAGTTGAAGTCATTGCTATTATTCATCTAGACAGGTTGCCATTCATACAAATTTGGCAGTGCATTTCAAATATAATATTCTATAGAGATGGACCCAGGCCAAAACCCATTCAGATCTGGGTCTCGACCCCACTTAAAATTAGGGTTTGAAATTATAGGTAAAGCCCAAATATATTTATAAATTCATGTAAATTGAGATCACTTCTGCTCTGCTGCTATGTTCACAGTGCTGATTATTAAGGAATAATGGATTGCTTGTTGTAAATTGAGGAGAATATACAAATTGCACATCAAATTGCAAGGATAACAATCCCTTGCTTCTCAAGCCTTCTGCAAACAGGAATGGTATCATGTCCCTTACTTACAATTCTTAATACTTCAGGCCATAAATCTTTTTATCCAAACAAATAATGAGAGCAAATATTACAATAGGTGCAGGGCAAATAAATTAAAACCTAAAGTACTGCACATACTGTATAACGGGTAGATAATGAACAGCTAACAAGGTCTTGCAGATGCTAGAGGGGATGGAGAGAGCTGACAATTCTGTAAGGTAAAGAACATCTACCATGTGGAATTCATATAGATGCATTTACCTTTATTAGAAACATTTAGTTAGTATTGTGACTGAAGACCAGCATGCTACCTGGTATAGCAACTGCTTCCAAGAAAGGTCATGTGTTTACATTTGATAGCTTTTGGTTCAGGTTGGTCAAACTAATGATGGTACAGAGATCTGTCCATGAGCAAAAGCAGACTACAAATAATCATATAGTATATGATTTTGACATCCAGGGAAAAAGATTAATTTCAAATAAGGGGCAATGATAACTAATGGGAAATTAATATGAATAAATCATAGTATCTTCTTAAAGTCATAATTTGAACAATGTTATTTTGAAAGCATGTTAGAAATAGCATATGGACTAAACGGAGCCTTGTGTAAGCAGGTGCAATTCTACTGATTTTGCCATTATTTATACCAAGACTGACTCTGGCTCTAGATAGTTCTAAACATTTGCTCAAAAGTTATTGTGTGAAGAACTGGAAGAAAACAATGATTTCAGATGCTTGCTGATGGCAAAATAATAATGACAGGTACATTATCTAAAAACGGAAATGCAAAGGATTCAGGAATGAATGGGTATATAATGCTGTCCTACTCTTTCATTCCTGTCCTTACGATCTCTCCTGTGAACACAGATGCACGGCACAATACATGGAAACTACATAGTGAAAGCTTTCTATTATAATATTGCTTTTTAATTTTATTCTTGGAATAGGTGTCCTGAAGTCCTCACTGAAGACCAGACCTACAACAGAGAATCTGATTACCAGAAACGGATCAGAAGATAAAAAGCATGGAACAATTGTGTACTTGGAACCATAAAGCAGGTACTCATGCTGACCCTTTTAACTCTCTCTCTTTCTGTGGGGCAACATCTTAATAACTTCTAATTCTTTTATTTGCAATTGCAGCCAACGTTCCTCCTATTCACCACTAGAGAAGGGCCCAAGCCACGCAGTCCAGATCTGGGCCTGAACTCCTCCGAAGTTTTGGGGTGCCTGGATCTAGGTTTTAGTTTTGGCCCTTTTGTGCCTTTTTATCTTTACACAACCTATGGATGTTTCATCTGGGGCCTGATCTGAATTTCCCATTTGGGGTTACTTGGGTTCTACCTGTACTTCAGTTGCTGTGTGAACCATAAGAACATAAGAATGGCCATACTGGGTCAGATCAAAGGTCCATCCAGCCCAGTATCCTGTTTGCCGACCGTGGCGAATGCCAGGTGCCCCAGAGGGAGTGAACCTAACAGGTAACGATCAAGTGATCTCTCTCCTACCATCCATCTCCACCCTCTGACAAACAGAGGCTAGGGACACAATTTCTTACCCATCCTGGCTAATAGCCATTAATGGACTTAACCTCCATGAATTTATCTAGTTCTCTTTTAAACCCTGTTATAGTCCTAGCTTTCACAACCTCTTCAGGCAAGGAGTTCCACAGGTTGACTGTGTGCTGTATGAAGAAGAATCTTCCCTTCATTTGAGAACTCGTGTTATGCAAGAAGTTTCTTACCTGTAACCTTTAACTGAGTTGTTCTTCTTATTAGTTTGCCTTCAAACTTTAGTTCACAAGTATAATTTCCTCCATCTTCTTCCTGGACTTCTTGTATTAAAAGAGTATTTCCTTTCTGAATGACGACGCTTCTCCACATTTTTGGCTTACATTCCTGCACAGAAAAATCAGTTGCCTAAATTAACCAGCTGATATGGTAAAGCACCAGTCTGACTGGACAAGTAAACACTTACCTCACACACATCTCAACGGAAATACCTTTGCAAAACTGAGGTTTCTTAAAAAAAAAAATCAATTTAGGTTTCAGTATGGATATTGGATACGGGATCAGATACGAATTCCAGGCAGCATGGAGATTTGAATATTCACAACTTGAAAAACTGGGGTTTATCTGAAGTCATTTTTGTTTAAAATTTAACAGACATGTATCTAACAAGCTACAGTAATTAACACTCACTGAACTACACGTGCAGTGTTTTAGACATCATCTACCGAGGGCCAAATAGAAAACAAAATTTCCACTTTTTTTTCATCATAAACCATTGTTTTAGTTAAAGACACATCAGTATTTTCCTAACTATACATCCTTGTTCATGTATATGTCCCATGAAATTTGGCTCCAGGCTGAATCTTAACACACAAGGGCTCAGTGTAGATGTACTAAAAAACCAAGAAGAAAATTTGAAGAAAAAAAATCCAGGTGGCTGGTGCATTTACAGTTGCACGAAAACTCCTGGCAGTTCCTGATTAGGTAGAAGGATGGTCTAGTGGACGCCAGAGTAGGACTCATGAGACCTAGGTTCAATCCCTGTCTGAGCCACAGATTTCCTGAGAGACTCCGGGCAAGTCACTTAATCTACTCCCTGCCTCAGTACCACAGCGATAAATGGGGATAGTATCTCCTACCTCACAGGAGGGTTGGGAGGATAAAATCCATTAATGATTAGTAGGTGTTCAGATAGGACAGTGAAGAGGGCCTGATAAGAACCTAGAGAGGTTGCTTCAAATGCTTTGTTTGCATTGTAATGTGTCAGACCTGTCATTTTTGTAAACATTTGGAAGGATACAAATGAGGACTAAAACAGTGTTTAAATATGCTGTGCTTGACGCACTACATTATTTTTTAATAAAAATCAATGGCCTGAAATTGGATGGTGCAGTTCTCACCTAACCTCCTTTGAGGTGTGGATGATCCACAGGTCCCATGGACTTCACCCCTCACCAGCTGTCACTTGGCCGGACTGGGCCACATGTCAATATTTTTAATTTGTTGTCCTGGTAGGAAGGTTTGTAGTGGTTCCTTAGTCTTTACATCAGTGTATGTGATTCAGCAAATTCTAGGCATTGCAATATCTGGTGCTTGATCCACTTCCAGGCTGAAGTATTGTATTATTCTAGCCAGCTAAATTTGATAATACTTAATGGTGTTGATCATTTAATACACCTTGGAATAATCAGTGCTAATGTGTGGATATAGTCTGATAAGTGCCGCTCTAAAGAGGTGCATCAGGGTGACATGTTTGTTCATCTCTCAGGGCTGGTCTACACTGGCGGGGCGGGGATCAATCTAAGATACGCAACTTCAGCTATGTGAATAGCGTAGCTGAAGTCGAAGTATCTTAGATCGATTTACCTCGGTCCTCATGGCGCGGGATCAATGGCTGCGGCTCCCCCGTCAACTCCGCTACCGCCTCTCGCTCTGGTGGAGTTCCGGAGTCGACGGGAAGTGCGTTTGGGGATTGATTTATCGCATCTAGATGAGACACGATAAATCAATCCCTGATAGATTGATTACTACCCGCCGATCCGGGTAGTAATCGATTCAAGTGTTGCCAACTCAACCTGAACACCCAGTTCAGTAGCCAGGGAGCACACAAAGCAACTCAGGAAGGTGTGAAAATGTGGCTTTAAGCCACGTTTGTCTACTCTAATTCTGGGCCTGAACCAGTCCGCCAGAGTAAGTTAGAGCAGCCTGAGGGCTACTCTAACTTGTGTCATCTACTACTGCACCCAAGGAGCCAATATGCCACTGGGGATTGCTTGGAGACAGTAAAGTCCGGGCCCCTTCCTGGGTCATGAGCCTTACACCAACTGGAGGGAGATGGGATTGAGTAGGAGCCATTATACCAGCTCCATGACAATGGACAAACTCCCTGCACTTTGATGGCCATCTATGCCAGCTTTAGGGCCCTTTGTGTCAGTGGTGTGGCAAAAAGCAGTTACAGCACAGCCCCAGATCTGAGCTAAAATCTGAATCAAGGTGTGTTATTGTTTGGCTCTGACATGGCCAGTAATAATAGAATACAGTTAACAAAGAACAGAGTGACATTGGTGGCGTTTCTTTTCCCCTTGAGAAATCATGAAAGTTCCATGGTTTGTGTGTCGCGATTTCCAAATAAAATGTAATCAATATACAAGTAAAAAGGTGGGTTATCTAACTTTCAGCCCTGCAAACTCATACTAGATTCTGAAACCCTCTGCTCCATCATTAGTAGTAAAGATGGAGGATCAAATGCTACCCTTACCAGGACAGATTCTGTGCAGTCCTATTGTCCTATCCAAATTTTGCTCTTAGTGACACTTGGGCAACCCCATTACATTCTTGGCTGACACTAGTGCAACTCAGTGGTCTCCAGTGGGGTTGCACAAGTGTGAATTAAAGTGAAATTGAGCCCTGCTCTTGGAATTTAGTTAATAGTTGATAATGCAGGAAAAGGAACTAAATCCAGCTCCCTAGCTGCATGCAGAGAACAGATCTGATGAGCAAGAAAGTACCATTTTTACATAGATACCTTTCTGAGTTATGTTAGATTTTGAGCCCCATTTAAAGGTGCCCCAAATTTGAACAGACCTCTGCCCTGGGGTGATTGAACATCAGCCTGGTCTAAAGAACATGATCCAGGTCTATCCATCTCTGATTAAAAACGACTAACATTCCCAGAATGCACCAGTAAGTTCAGTAGGTAACTGCATTGCATCTCTTCTGTAACGTAGCCGTAAAAGTCCCATGTCTCATAATAGCTTCCATGGTAAGATTTTTGTTTTTTCTTTTTGAAAAATACCAGCACGAACAGGACAAACAAAACAAATCACTTTTCTCTGGCAGGATGTTGCTTTGCATATTATGTACTTCTAATAAAGAGGGTCACATCATTACTACTGTAGTGATTAATGAGGTAGAGGTTTGAAACAATGCTTGTATCTATCACGGTTGTCTATTCAGAATTGCACCAAGCAGAGAGGTTTGTAACACTCACTTATTAATTATTCAATACGGTTTATCTCCTTGTTTACTTCAAAACATTTTCTATTTAAAAATGATTTACAACTCCCCCAAATTTTAGCTAATTTACATTACTTCTTCCATCTGCTACCCAGCATTTCTAACTCTGAACGGAAAGTTCTCGCTTTTACTCTGCCTGGATTCATTTTATGTGGATTGGCTCACTGTACACGACTGACACAAGAGCAGAAAGTAGGAATCAGAAAAATTTGTATTTAAAGCCCCCCCCAAACCCTATAAAAAGTAGTCTTCTTATTCTGGAGGAAATTAAACTAGATTCCCCTGTCAGAGAGACGTTAACTCCCTTTAATAATCAGTTCCCCAGTGTACGATTATTTCTTATTTAACCAGGTCACATTCTTTTTCTGGTTTTTCACTAGTGTTTGTCTTGATGGGGTAGTTTTAACTCTTCCCTTTATTTGCACATTTTGCTCATGAGTCTTTGGCGCTCACAGTCACTTGAATAACTAGGCTGTTCATTATTGTGCTTCTCTCTTCTTCCTTGACATTTTTAAGTGGCAGTACCTCAACTACTCTGTTTTTGCAGACTCGTATAACTACTACCTGTCCTTCACCTGTCATTCTAATTGTTTTCATAGCTATTCCTTCAACACAGTCAGAGCAAGGAGGTGGTGGGGAGGGAAAGAGGGGTTAGAGCTCTTCTTTCTAGATACATCTTTTTTTCTCCTCCAGTTTATTTTTCCCATGAGAGTAATTCTATTCTTAAGTCCTGTTCATTCAATCATTGACACCTGCATTTATCTAAAAAAAATCCTTTATTCATGTTGTCAAAACAGTTATTTAGGCCTGATGGTGCTTTGGAAAGAAAGAGTCACATTGACATTAATAGTATAATTCTTTAAAACAGGCATTTCATTAGTATAATTTCAGCTATAAATGAAACGTACACGTTTAAGAATAATAGCTTTGTTAGTATTTTTCCTAGAGAGCTTGGGTATAGAAAGTATCAGAAGGGTAGCTGTGTTAGTCTGTATCACAGAGTATCAGGGTTGGAAGGGACCTGAGGAGGTCATCTAGTCCAACCACCTGTTCAAAGCAGGACCAATCCCCAGACAGATTTTTGCCCCAGATCCCTAAATGGCCCCCTCAAGGATTGAACTCACAACCCTGGGTTTAGCAAGCCAATGCTCAAACCACTGAGCTATCCCTCCCCCAAATAAATCTGTTAGTCTTTAAGGTGCCACCGGACTCCTTGTTGTTTTTGGGTGTAGATATAGAGCCATGCTTAATTCTCCTAATGCTCAAATTGCATTAGGCTTTGTGCAGCTTGTTACTATTAATGTACCCAATCAGGGCTGGCTCCAGGGTTTTTGCAGCCCCAAGCGGCAAAAAAAAAAAAGCCGCGATCGCAATCTGCGGCAGCAATTCGGCGGGAGGTCCTTCGCTCCGAGCGGGAGTGAGGGACTATCCACCGAATAGCTGGACGTGCCGCCCCTCTCCAAAGTGGCCGCCCCAAGCACCTACTTGGCAAGCTGGTGCCTGGAGTCGGCCCTGCACCCAATTCTGTAATCCCTCAACATGTAGAACTCCTACTGAAGTCAATGAGAAATCTGCTCATGGCAGGCTTGTAGCATTGGATCTGCTGTCTCACAGTAGACCAGGGGCCACAAGCCCAAATTCCGCGACTTTCAAGGGACAAGAGTCACTTAAAGGTTCCATCATGATCACAGGTTTTTCTGGTGGGAGCTGTGTCTAGCTCTCCTTAAGCAAGGGGAAGGGGAAGAATCCTGGGGGACCATCTTGCTTTATTTGACTCTCATCTTCATATTTTGGAAAATGTCCACTGTCCAGATGTATCATGGGTATGGCCAAAGTATTCAGCACAGTGGCCCTTGCCCTACCTGGCTCTAAAGCAGGTGAGAAGGTGATTGATAGTATGTGTGTGTCTATATATCCATACTGAGCCCAGTCACTGATGTTAGCTGGCTTGATCCTTTCAATCTATCTTTAAGTCTGAAATCACACACCCTTTTCAGAAATTTCGGCTCAGGCCCTCAGGTGATACAAGTCACTATAATTATATTGACTTCAGTGGAGTTGCAGAGTATGTAGAGATTATGGGCTCAATTCTATAAACTCTTTGGAGCAGGGACTATCTTTTTGTTATGTGCATGTACAACGCTTAGCATAACGGGCACCTGGTCCATGACTGGAATTCCTAGGTGCTGCTGCAGTACAAATAATAAATAGGAATAAAAATATTCTGAAATCAAAGGGATGTACCAGAGACACAAGTTTTCTCTAGAATCTGGCCCTCAACCTTTCTTTAGAGTGAGAAAAGAGAATGTCTGTTACAGCTAGTACCACAATTCTCTTCGGAGTATTTTTCAAAAACCTTCGCCTCAAATGGGTTAAAACCTGCCCTACATACATCATGCATAATACCACATTAACGTTGAAATCCCAAGTGACTGAACCCTTCTGACTGTTTTTAGGTCTGTTACAGATGATGTATGTGGGGTCTAAGAAGTGAAGATCCTGCCATCTAATCTGCAATTGTTAGCGCACTTATTAAACGACACTTATCATTAAGTATGACTAAGGAGGAGGATGGAGTAGGTTATTCCAGTAATGTCTCTTTTTCTTAGCAAAGCAGACTAAAAGTCCATTTTGATTGTCTTGCAGCTGCACTGTTATCTTCAAAATACAATATCAGTTCTGGTCAATTTAATCATTGTGACAACTCAGTCAGCTGTCAGACCGAAAGCCGGTGCTATACAATCTATGTGTTGGACACAGAAGACATGTACATGTGTGAAAAGAAAAGAAATGAAAGTTCTGTTCCCATTTCTGGCCAGTACAATTCCTCACTGATTTTGGTTTGCACTTTTCTTGCATTCATTTTCCTGGAGTGTTTTAAGAGTAACTGTGCTTCATGACTGCTGAGGATTCTGTCTGTCAGATAATTTCTGCAATGTGAACTTACACAATGATAATGCATTCTTCAGCCTTTTGGTATTCAGCAGGTACATGGCTAGGACATGAGACACTTATGCCCATACACTTTACTCAGTATGCATATTTCACGTGTAAACAGCTCTAAACATATCTGCCCATATAACCGGGGTGTGTGTGTGTGAAGCTTTCATGGCTTTTATACGAGTTACAGTACATGGTTTGTCAGTGTGAATTGGAATATTCAAGATTCTTGTAAAAATAAAAATAGAGTGACAACTTTTTCTTTTTAATTGTTATTTTCTGACACACCAGGGCACCTGTGTGTCTGGCAAGTCAAAACTCAGCACTTCTCAACATGTATTATGTATACACATCATGCGCAGACACACTACATAGTGGCGCTGATGCCATCTAAATGTGTTGCCTCCAGTTGGGTTGACTGCAATATTCAGAAATGGCAGAGTTCCTCCAGTGTAGAAACTGGGGTGGGGGTAGGTGGGTGAGGGAGGCTGTGGAACATCTGGAGCTGGTATTCCAGTTGTTAGAGCAGGTTTTTTAAGTTCCTAAAGTAGGGAAGACCCTTCACAGATATGGAGCTGCTGTCAGTCAGTGGCCAGGCTGGATAATTTTGCACCAATATAGATAAATCCTGTGCATCAGAACTATTAGGCTTTGGTTGGTCCTTCAGAGCAGCCACTCATTACCTGACACACAAAAAGTTCATAATTGAATGCAAGACTGAAAACAAAGAAAGTAATTGTATACATTCAACAAAATGCTAATTAGATGGCCATGTTACCTTGTACCATACTACTTCTGGCTCTTGATTTGATGTTTTATAATCCTCAATATCGGGGCAGGAGATTATCTTTCTTTTCATGACTTCTGATTTTTCCAAATATCGGATCTGGCTGTTGTAGCAAAGCCCAGATTCATTCTCAGCCACTGTCAAGGACATTGACACCTTCATGCAATAGGTGGAGTTTCTGCAAGAACAGAGAAGAGTTTTACACCGATAGCTTAGTTTTTACCACGTCGGTTTCACCAGTCTCGGCTTTGCCATCAAGAGCTCACCTACATGATTCAGGAACACACTCAGATAAGTCACTGTAATGTTGTGCAATTCAGGTGTTAAGAAAATATTATAGAGATGCAAATTAAATATGAAGCATCACACAGAACTTACATTCGCCCGTGCAATTTGTTTTATCGAGCTCAGTGGCATAATTGTAGTGATCCTCATTACCAGATAAGAGAAGAATGTTCAGAACTGGTTTCACCTCCCCAGCAGGAGTTACTATGCTATCAGCTAGAGGAAGGGGAGTATATATAGGTAGTATCATTGTTCAGAGATCTGAGAGGCATGGAAAATCATCAAAAGAAGTCCCATCCCACTTGAGCTCCTTTGATGGTAAGGGTGCAGGGCCTCAAGGTTTGGAGCAAAGGAATTTATATGTATTACCTGCAAGCACCTCTCCAATGAGGGCCAGCACAGCCTCAAAAGTGGGTGGAAGAGGCATAACCAGGCAACTGAGGGACACGCTAATTAGCACATCCCCTTTCAGGCAGCTTTCACTGGCATATCTTCTATAGATCCCAGAGACACCACCTCCCCTCCCCTCAGGGTGACTCCAACGTAGAGTACACTGGGATGCAATTTGCTCTCCTCTGAGTCAGTGGTACTAAATCATGCATAGAATGCAGGAATAATTCCTTCTACCGAAAGAATGATTGGTGAAAGTCTATGGCAAGAGGTCAGACTGGACAGAGATAGTGATCCCTTCTGGCATTAAATCTATGTTTCTATAATAACAGAATCTAAGATCACAGTTTTCTCAGTTCCCACAAAAACAGAGAGGGTGAAGTCCAGGAAAGGGTGCATGAGTTAAATCCAAATGTTCTTGTTTTTCTTGCTGTCAGTCCAGAATAAATGTTAATGACCAAGCTACATGCTTCCTGAATGTGAAAATGAGGTTAAAATGGAAATGCTTATAGACTCACAACTCTAACAGAGTTAGCAGCTACCACAATAACAACTCACGCTGATATTTATCATGGTGTTACTGTCAAGCATTTACAGTTTGTGCAAGAGTGTTGCAACTCAGACTGTCAGATTCTGGTTTTCATTAGACGGGATGGGAAACACAGTCCTTTAAGACCAGACTACAAAGTACGACAGACATTATAATGAGGGCTCTGTTTCCCATCATGCATCACTTTGTCACTAAGTTTTCTGGAATCAAAGAGGTCTGGGGTAAGACTGATACACTGGCTGGCTACAATATCATGGGGAGTCCTGGAGAGTTCCCGCTGAAGACATTACCGCTTTGCTTCAGTATTCTCCTGCGGCTACTGTGTTTCAGATTATTTTACCTGGTACAAAACAGAGGGCAGCACTGCAAATACATTTTGCCACATTCACCTGGAAAATGATCAATGACCAAATAGTCAAACCTCTGATACTAACATCAAAGTAACGGATCCTCAGAATCCTCAAATTAGACTTATGATGAGTTTCAATGGAACAAGACAAATGCCAGTTTATCCCATTGTCTTTTGTTGCACATCATTATGGTAATAAAATGTCACATAGAATAGCATATGTGGAGCCTGCAGCTAGAAATATACTAAAGAAGTGTCGCTGCATTTTCCCTCCTACAGAGACTTTTTACTTGTTGTTGTTGTTTTATTTAATCTAAAGAATAGTTATCAGACCTGAAAAATAAACATTTTGGGAGCGGTTTTGAAAAGTCTCGATGCAACTTAACAATAAAAATCAATTTCCCCCTAAAACATTTAGGTGCTTTTGAAAATCTCACCCTTTGTTCCTTGCAGATGGGAAAACAAACTTCAGCTTTAAAGAATTTTTAAGTACATTGTGCTGGAGCACTAAAAACCCACACAACAGCCGTGTATGTACTTTACAACTGATGTATGTATATAATCAGCAGCATTAAGCAATTGGTAATTAACAACTTACCTGGATGATTACCCATATTCTTGATTACAAGACAGGTCACAGACCCAGTAGAAATTATCAAGGCTCGTAAAGATAATGACTTGGGGTTGTTATTCATTATTTGGTATAATTTAATAGTGCTATATTTTCTGCTAACAATCTTTCATTATTTAGATTACATTTTGAACAGGGCCTGAGGCTAGTTCTATTTAAAATGCTTACTCCCTAAAAATGTAACACTCCTTTCACTAGTTACAATTAGACTGGAGCAGAGTTGAGGAAATTGACTGTCTGGTGAGCAACATCACTTAAAAAAAAAAACAACCAAAAAAACCCCTGCCAGAATAAGTCTATTCCAGCTCAGGATAAATAAAGCCCTTACTAAGCCAGCAACAATAGACTTGAGAACTGGATGAACTATCTCCCACTGGCTGCATTTGACTTGGTCTGTTTTCCTTGAGGACATTGGTAGAGTGGCCAATGTTATCCTATATTTATTACCTCCCTTTTCCTTCTTTAAAATAATGACGACTCTCATTAATTTGTATTATAGAAAGGAGGAACTTCTCCCAGTACAATATAATGAAAAACAAAGGTGGGCTGGTTGCACTGGGCCCCAAGCATGGAGGGAACAGGGAAGGAAGGTTATATAAAAAGAGTAAATAGGGGCGGAATGTACTTGCAAAGAACACAGACAAGTAACAACTAATCACTATTTTAGTGTTGCTATAGCAGATGAGGAATGAAATTGACCAAATAAGTTGTTTTCCACAGTGGATGGGGAGCTTGCTAGATGAAGGGTTGTAGACCTGACCTTGAAAATAGATTAGTTTAGCAGGGAGTTTGCAAGTCAGTAGAAACAGCTGTTGATCAAGTACAACTCAAATGATCTTAGACCTTAACGAGATTTCAGAGCACTCATTTAATAGACAAGAGGTAGGCTCAGCATAGAGAACATGCCTGGTAGAAAATAAACTTAAGACCTTGAAAATGCATCTTCTAAAGCAGTTTCACATCTTAAAAGGTCTCAAGCTGCTCCCTCTCCCATTGGGTTGACCTCCACGGGCTCCCTTTTAAGAAGAGGGAGTACTAGTAACAAGGAAGAGGAGGAAAAGACAGACGTTCTTTTTGCAAGGAGAAAGGATTTGAAAGTCTTAACATACTGGCACCAGAGGTTGTGATTCCCTATCTCAAAGTACTACTGTGAAATGTGTCTGCTCTCTGGACTGGAGAAGTGAAGAGCTCAATAGTTTTGCTTTGCAGGAGTTTGTGAAACTATTTCCTTCTATCATGGCATCTAGGTCTTTGCAATCCTCATATCAGCCAAGTTTTGCTTTGAAGTATGGATTCAAACAAACTCAGAATCCAAAAGAAAAACATGGCCAAAACAGCAGCAGTGGCGGATTAGCCACAGGGCCATTGGGGGGGCCTCCAAAAAATGGGCACCCCTAGGCCCCGACCCACTCCGCCCGCCCGGTGCTCCTGCTGTGGTTTTTTTATTTCATTATAATTGCAGGACAGATGCAATTGTGAATACCACAAGGAGATTCATGGAAGCTGTGCCCAAGAAAGAATACAAGAATCAGGCTTCTAACGGAATGCAACATGCTGCCTACTCATTTTAACGGCTGAACTCTATTAAATCTACGGCACATTCATTGGCTCATTGTAACACTAAATAGCAGCTATGTGCAAGTCAACCTCCTGAGTCCATTCCCTTTAACTGAGTCTCCACAACTTGGGAACTTAGCAGCTTCTGATTTATAAAGAATACCAACCCATCATCTATCTCCCTCTGAAAGTCAAGAGCACCTGGTCTGCTAACACCTATCAAACCTTGACAATCTCCTGTTTTCCTCTCTAGTCATTACCGGGAGAACTATCCAGATAATCAATACATTCCGGAGTCCAAATTTGTGTTGCCAGTATTTGAAATACAAGTCCATCATTACTTAGTGGTTTCATGTGTGTCTGAAGTTGTTCTACACCAGTTCCATGATGTTATCATCTTCTGATCTGTTTAGAGAAAAAGGCATCATTTACTATTGTCATACAATTCTGAACACAGGTATTGTATTTTTCCTCAATTGGAAAAGTGTTTAATGCATGATATTATTAACTCTATGGGACTCTTCACTAGTTTGTTACCTTATTCTTCCATGAAGCCTTCTGTGGCATGCTTTGGGTCATTGTCTACAGAAGATACCAACCATGCAAATCACACTTGGATTTGTATTTTCAAAGTTCTTAGATGTGCAAGCCCTTCTTTCTTCCCAAAGTGTGATGCACATTGACCCCTTCAAGTTAAAAGGCAATACCTGCAAGAGAAAAAATTTAGTAGACAATTGACATCACTGTAGTTGTCTATTGAACCATAAACAAAGAGTATATATTCCTTCTCTTCCTCGGTGTATGTTACCTTGGCTTGGGACAACTCCAACCATTTCTGCAGAGAAGTTTGTTGTTTCTTTTACTATTGTAATTCCAATCCCAACTCCTTAGCACTATATCAAAAACCCGGATGCTACCTGGCTCATTGTATTCATCCTTTAATGTCTGAATGGCCCTCAGGATCTCACTAGTAAAAACAAAAACAGTTTAGAAACATTATCACAGAAAATTAGGTGCAGTGTGTTACAATTGCATCTTGTTACAAGTCCATTTTACTGTACCTTGTGCATTTTCTGAGATTTCGGTTCTGTGGGTCCTCCAATAAAGAGCTGTGGCCTTAATCCAGAGTGAAACACCATGCAAATTCCTATTCCTTCAAGCAGAAGAACTATTTGTGTTGTTCTTATCTCACCATTCCTTAAGCTTCTTCATTCTCCTGCACTGTTCCCTGCTAAGCTTTTCACATTACAACATATGGTTGCTGTCATATGCACCGGATTCTGAAGTCAGAAGGCAGGTTCATCTTGAATAAAACATAAACACTGTCCCAGTAGCCTATGCTTTAACATGCAGAAAAGATGCACCATTGGCCAATTGCCAACAAGGAGAAACTTGTCCTGGACAAAGTCACTGCAG